GGGGAAGGGGGGGGGGGGGGAATAAAAAAGAAAGACCGAATCAATTAGAGTGCATTAACACCGGCAGTAGTAGAGTTCCCCCCGTTCGGGTTTCCGCCTTCGAGACTCGAGATATCGATTTCATCTTTCGCCTAACGATCGCAGGTGGGCTTCTTCAGACGTTTCTAGCTCCCTCCTCCTCCTCTCTCCTCCCCCCTTCGCCCAGTTTCTTTCTCTCGAAAAGGCCGGTCGCCTTTCGCGAGTCAGCCGATTTTTGCGCGATTTCCACGCGCTAACGAGCCGCGAATCTCCACTTCTCCGGCAGAACTCCTGAGAAATATCGTGGCCAAAGATGTGTGTGTGTGTGTGTGTGTGTGTGTGTGGGATGGGTGTGTGCTTAAACGTGAGTGGAAAAGTCTGTAGGCCATTTCCTCGGGCGTTTGGACTTTTCTTCCCTTTTTCCCCTCCGTCGTTCGCGAGGCCTTGTTCTTTCTTCTTTTTTCTCTCTCCCTCTCTCTCTCCCTCTCTCTCTCTCTCTCTCTCTCTTTCTTCGACTCGTATCTCGTCTGTCTTGTGGTTTTTGGCTTTCAGGCGCCCTCGCCCCTTTTGTGCACGCACTGTTCAACATCGACAGCAGTGTATTTTTTCGTGTAATTGTTGGATCGATGGGAGATACGAGAATCTTCGTTTCTGCGATTTTTCAATTTCACGCTGAAACTCGAATTTGTTTAAATTACGCGAGAGTACGGAAATATGAGCGGCTAGAGCGGAGTTGAAACGAATCTTGAGCTTCAATTTGCTCGACAAAATTCGCCTCACTTCGAACGTTGGAAAAATTATAAATTAAATCGTGTCTATAGAAAGTATCTTTCTTTTTCTTCGGCAACAAATGATTCTCATTTTGATAAAATTCGCTCCGAAGTTACACTTTGAGCTTTTGAGCGTTGGAAACATTACAAATAAAATCGTGTTTAGGAAGTATCTATTTTTTTAAAACCAAGAAACGGTTCTCACTACGACAAAAATTCGCTCCAAACTTACATTTTAAAGGATCAAACGTTGAAAAAATTATAAATAAAATCGTGTATAAAGAGTATTTATTTTTCTTCGCCAATAAATGATTCTCATTTCGACAAAATTCGCTCCAAATTTACATTTTCAACGATCGAACATTGAAAATTATAAATAAAATCATGTCTAAGAAGTATATCTATTTTTCTTCACCGAGAGATGGTTCTCATCATCTCAAAATATAACATTTCGACAAAATTCGCTCCAAAGTTACATTTTCAACTTTCGAACGTAGGAAAAATTACAAATAAAATCGTGTCTAATTTTTCTTTCGCCAAGAAACGGTTCTCATTTCGACGAAATTCGTTCCAAACTTACATTTTAAAGGATCAAACGTTGAAAGAATTATAAATTAAATCGTGTCTAGAAAGTATCTATTTTTCTTCACTAATAAATGATTCTTATTTCGACAAAATTCGCTGCAAACTTACATTTCAAACGGCCAAACGTTGGATACAAATGGAATCGTGTCCCGATAAAATGTATCTATTTTTTTTTTTTTTCCTGAACGAGAAACGTTCGTTTTCAATTTCGAACGAAATAGTTGAAATTTATTTGCCGCGGACACTGATGGGCGAGGGGAGGTGAAAAATCTCTATCCCCGGAGAAACGTGCGGTTATGTTTTAATAGGTTTGGGCAAACTTCAAAGCCGGTAGTTTCGCAAACTCGCGTAACTTGGCCTAACTTGGCCAGAGACGAACTCTCCCTTTGCACATAATATCCGATAATCTCGTGCTCACATAACTAATGGCTCTTGTAATAAGCATCTATTTCGCTCGTAGTTTAAATATGCTTGATTCGTCTGGACGAATTATAATTGGCAGAGCAAACTACCATCTATGTTCGTCTCGTTTGATTCGATGAATACTGCTTTTCCTTCCTTTTATACATAGGGTGTCTCTTTTTTATACATAGGGTGTCTCTTTTTTTTATCAGAACGTGCGAGTCTCGCATCAGTTGAAACGAATTTCGACTTTGCGTTTACGAAAGATGCTCCGAACGAAAAACAACCATATTCCAGATTTTGAGAGAAGCCTGACGTTTCTTGAGCTTGTTCAGTAATTTGCTCCCTACTGAACCGAGTCTTGGAACATTGCGAAAAATTGTCAAGTGATTACGCGTGAAAAATATCAGTTACTATGACGAATAGAGAGTTTACTCCTTTTTACAAAATTAGTTGTATTTCATTGTTTTTGAGTGTACACACACACACACACACACACACACACACACACACACACATATATATATATATATAGGGTGGGTCATAAAT